GATCATGAAATAGGAATATTAATGATTATGAACCAATTAACGTATTCCCCCAGACCTGGCTTCATAGAAAACGTTTAAAAATCATTGTAAAACAATATTCTAAAGTGTAAAAGCTTTTCAAAAATTGTGAACATGTTCTGAAGAAAGTGTAATGTGTTAGTTTGGGATAGGATGTGAGCATGATGCTGTAAGAAATCGAGATGATATTGAAGTCATATAAAGGGTGGGTAATGTATTAGTTAATGGTAAAAAAATTTTTATGTTTTATGTATTAGTAAAAGTCAGCCTAGTGAAAAACAATAGTTTCAAGACAAAAAATATATAATTTCAATACCTTTTATCGAGTCAAATTCGTATTTTGGCTGACTTTATACTGAAACAGAGGTTCATAATTCTGGTGACATTGTAGTACTGGTGAAACTTACACAAACATGTGTAAATTTGGTAAAATTATGCAAAAATTGCGTGATTTCTAAGTAGAAATTCAAAAAAAAATTCCAAAATTCTCAATAGAATTCTTGGTAGAAAACTATTGGTTCCAGCTAAAATGGTATATATCATTTTAAGAACAATAATAATGCATAAATAATGTGATTAATGCATGTAAACATAAACAAAAATAAACTATTTTTGGATAAGTTATCTGATCTGGACTGGGTATCATGTGACAGGTCAAGTGACAAGTCATGTGATTCAGTTACAGATAAAATCAGAACTGTGATGCAGCTATGACGCAGCATGATTTAGTTAAATTAGTTTTTCCAGTAACGCAGTATTAATGGTGCAGTATGAATAAATAAAAAGCCTAATTGTAGCGCAGGTGGCGCAGGAATTATTAGTCTAACTAAATTGGTAGACAGCCTAAAAAGAAAATACCAAATAAAGAAATATCAAAAAAAGAAATACCAAAAAAGGAATTATCAAAAAAGATAATTAGGATTGCTGATCAATTTGTTAAGGCATTAAAGAATTAATACATAGTTTTGGTCAGGTGATCCTCGAGTTAGGGTTAGGGTCCCAGATAGGAATAAAGATGCCTATCTGGGTATCTAAATTCATTAAGATGGACCCTATTTTTAACTCTTAATAAATTAATATTTCAAAAAAATATACAAAGTATTTCTAATATGTTCAATATCCAAAGGATCCATTAGGTATTAGTGACCGGATCAACTAAGGTTAGTTACATATTATATTTTCTTTTTAATCTATTCATTATAGAAATTAAACTCTCACCTTTCTTAACGATTAAATCAACTTTAAAATTGTTGTTATCGTTAATATTTTTATACATTATTGGTTTATACAGATCTTTAATCAAAATTCTTTCAGAAATATTTTCTAAAAGGATAAAATTCTTAGGCAATTTCATGTTATTAGAAGGTAATAACATATTATTTCGATCGTTAAAAGAATTTTTTAATAATAAAGATTCTATATTTTTAGATGAATATCTTCTATCTAATAAGAACTCTTTAAAATTATTTAAAGTGATGTTATAGTCATTGATTGAAGAGGAATTATGAATTAAACAGATGTTTTCATCTTGAATTCAACCGTAAACGTAATTCCATGGATAAAAAGATCTAGGATCAGTATAAATATGACGGTCTTGTGATTTATAAAAATTAGAGACTGTCAATTTGTAGCCATTATTGATCATAACTTTATGAATGGAGATATCCAAAAAGTCAACATTATCACCAATATGACAGGTGTTAACAATGATCATATCGTCAGTAATTAATCTATAATTAAAGACGAATATTTTAATATCATTTAATCTAGTAAAGATGGCAAAAATGTCATCCAAATAATGACAAAAATAAATTGGCGAATTTGTTAGATTAATGAAATTATCTTCAATGACTGCAAGAAAAAGGTTAGCAATAACAGGACCAGCTGGTGTACCCATTGCAATACCTTTTATTTATTGAAAAATTCGATTGTTAAATTTAACAAATGATTGTTTACAAATCCATTTCATTATTTCAAGTTCGAGATAAAGAGATGAAATGTCAACATTAAAAGATTCCTCATATTTTAAGAGAAAAGATTTAATTTTTTCAGCAGCTTCAGTATGTTTAATTAATGGGTAAAGTTTCTCAATGTCAAATGAAACTAAAAGAATATCATGATTGAACGTCATTTGTTCAATATAGAGTATTAATTTCATTGAATTAGGCAATATATGAGGAATTTGATCAATATATCATTACCATCATGAAGTTAGCCATTTGGATAATTTAGAAGTTATCCAAGTATGATTTGGAACTATAGAACATAAATTTAATTCTTTTTTATGAATTTTGGGTAATCTATATATAGACAGAATTGGAGTATCTGAACTAGGAATAAGATTCTTTAATTCAGAAGTTAGATCACGTCGCAAAGTATTGCAAATATAAATAAAATGAGCACGAATGTCATTTTGATAGCATGGTTTTTCAGCTCAACTAGAACTATTATTTAATAAATCAAGCATTAAATTATAGTATTTATCTTTGTTTAAAATTGTTAAACCAAGATTCTTATCTGTGGGAACCACAACCAAATCATTTGAGAAAAGAAAATTGAAAACTTGTTCAATATTTCGAGATACAAAAAAAAATCTTTATTAATATTATTATATTTATTGAAATATAAATGACTTCTATCTAATGCAATTAAAAAATCTACACCAATTTTTTGTAGTGATTTTTCTTGGCTTTTTGAAGGTATTGCGTTGCGACTTTTGACCAGTTTTGGTCAAAGTTCTGTAAAGAAAAAGGACAAGAAAGTTGAAAATTAACACCTAAACTAAGAGTGTTTTCAATGAAAGGTGAAAGTGAAACATTAGAAAGATTGTTAACGAATACTTTTGATTGTGATTTTTGGTTTCTTTTGTTTCGTCAGACCTTTTTTGATTTTTTTTTTGGATGGATCGATTACCATGGCGTCTTCGTCAATGTTTGATGGTGTTTTTCGTTTCTGCGACTTCAAAAATATTAGAAGCATTAGATTCTTTCGTGAAATAGTTTTCAACAAATGGTATATTAAGTTCATTGTATGAAATAGAATCTATTTTCCTTACTGACTCAATATTGAGAGAATGCTCGATGTCAAGTTGCAATATTTTTTCATCATATTGCCGTAAGATACTCTCTATTCTGCTTTTAGCAGAATTTGAGTACATTGTAGTGAGTTCGATCTTCAACGAACCATTACTTACATTGATTTGAAGTTCAGCTTGCACCTTACTAAACTTCTCATCTAATTGCTTGGCATAGTTTTCATGAATAAGCTCTTGTTTCTTAAGAAGCGTAATGAGTTTTTCCAAAAGGAATTCACTGTGCTTTTTAATTAAGACTTGATGAATTTCTTGCGATAATTCATTATAAGCAGTAGGAACAAGAGTGTGAGGAAGATTTTTAAGAGAAAGTGAGCAATAATAGCCCATGGGTTTATCGTCTAAAGAGGTGATTTTGTTTCTTAAAGAAGAGATTGCTAACGATTTGGCCTTATAAAGACCAATTATTTGTTAATAGAGAGAAGAGCGAGAGAGAAAGAAGTAATAGTGGAGGTAGAAGAAGAAGCAGCAGCATTGGAACTCATTTTTGTAATTATGAACGTGTTTGTGGATTAGGTTTTATGTATTAATAAAAGTTGGTCTAGTGAAAAATAATAGTCTCAAGATAAAAAATATATAATTTCAATACCGTTTATTGAGTTAAATTCGTATTTCAGCTGACTTTATACTGAAACAGAGATTCATAATTCTGGTGACATTGTAGTTATACTGTTACAAGTTTGTTCACTAATCGTTAAATTAGCTTACAAACAAGAACCTGGATTGGAAGAGGATATAAACTGACAAAGAAAATATTAAAAAGAAAAGAGGGGTATCTAAGGCCTATGCCAATTTCTACGAAAATTGTGTTTACTTGAAAAGAGAT